CTCTTTGTCTTGGGGGAAATGGGGTTCTAAGAAGCCAGGATCCCTGGCTGCAGCCCTTGGGGACACCTGCTCCTCTGGCACTGTTCATCTGGACAGTGAGGGCTGAGTCCAGCCGCACCTTAGAGACCCACCAGAGTTTCGGGCTGTAAGCTTTCGGGAATCAAAGCTCCCTTCATCGGACCCGGTTATTCTACTCTGCCTGAGAAAGGGAGCTTTGGCTCTTGAGAGCTCATAAAGGTTGCTGTTCTACTGCAGTCCAGCATGGCTGCCCTCTGACACGGTTCATCGGAATTCTCCCAAAGCCTACATGGCTGCCGTTTCCAGTCCCTTCCCAAGATTCCCTTCTCAAAAAGGGCCAATAATCACAGCTAGTTGAAAGCTGTTTAAGGGGGCGGGGGGACAAACCTATCACATTCTCCCCCCCCCCCCAAGCCGTGGCTCTACGAAGTCTGTTTCTCCACCCGCATAACAGTGGCTCTGAATTCCTCCTTTGTCTTCCCACATGCAAAAGAGAAGTCTTTGAACCCCCTACATTGCTACCTCCTCTTTGGCAGAGGTTCCCTGCCTCAGAAACCCAACAGCCAGAGGCCTGTGGCCGACTCTCCCCTTAAATTCGGTGTCGGTCCTAGGGTTGCCAGACCCCCTGGCCTGGGCGAGGGTCTCCCTCTTTCAGGCACCCCCCCCATTATCCCCTCTTACCTCTGAGAAGCCAGAAATAACTGCAACGTGCCTATGTAACCCAGAAGTGACATAGGCACACCAGGGACATCGGGCAGGAACACTCTGTTTTGGGGGCAAAATTTTACCATAGAGTTTTGCCCAGAAACCAGAGTGTCACTGCCTGACATCCCTACATCACTTCCGGGTGACGTAGGCACATTGTGGCACCCCTCCCCACTCCCGGAAAAGTCCCTCCCAACCCACTCCAGAGCGCTGTTGAGGTCTGGCAACCCTAGTCCTGCATATTCCTAATTGCTACACTACAGGGGTGCATGTGCGGTTTAAACCCCAGTTAAGTCCCTGGGGAGTCCAGTGCAGAGAATTTAAAGAGAGATGCTGGGATTCCTTGCAGCACAGCACACGTGGAAGGCAAAGGAAAACATCTGCCAAACCAAGGCTCACTTTTATTCAAGTATTTACCCTGTTCTCGCTTCCTAATGGAGCTTACCCTATTCTTCTCCCCTCCTCCATTTTTATTCTCCCAACAACAACCCTATGAGGTAGGTTCTGCTGAAAGAGAGTGACTGGCCCAAGGTCACCCAGCAAGCTTCCGTGCAGAGTGGGGATCCCTTCTGACAGTAGAGGGAGGGGTGAGAGATTTGCGCCAGGCTCTGATTCTGCCAGAACACGTGTTCTGCCAGAACACGTGTGGCTGAGGCACAGCTCCCACTGGTATGGACTGCCTTAGAGGAAAAGGAGGTGAAGAATGAAGGGGGAGACCATAGCGCTGGCCAGGGGGGGATAGGCAGAGACTGGTATGGGAAACAGCGGCAAGGCAGAGTGTCACAGTTCAGTTTAGGTGCTCCACCATGGAGGGGATGAAGTACCTGGCTCCATCCATGGCCGGGTCAAACTGGATGGAAAACAGACTGTCTTCTGCAGAGAAAAGACCTGAGGAATGGCCTGTCAGAGAACGTCAGACGGCCGAACAATGAGCTGGCACTGACAGGAGACAAATCCAAGCATAGACTTGGGACAGGCCGAAATTAGCGATCCAGACAGCCCCGAGAACACTCAGCCATTAAGCTGTCTGAAAGGACTGGCTCCGTCCCAGGAGCAAAATTTTAAAAATGCATGTATATATATGCATTCCCAGCACAAGGTCAGATATTCGGGGGTGGGGGTGTTTCAGCTAGTCTTGATGAGACTCTGAAAGAGGGTCCCTCCCATCATAGATATCCCAGTCCTTAGATCTCTCCATTCAAGGAATATGGCCTTGCACGTAGAAGAAGAAGAAGAGGATATTGGACATTATACCCGGCCCTTCACTATCCAAAGGAATCTCAGAGCGGCTTACAATCGCCATTCCCCTCCCCACAAAAGACACCCTGTGAAGTAGGTGGGGCTGAGAGAGCTCTCTTGAGAACTGCCCTTGAGAGAACATGTCTGAGAGAACTTGTAACTGGCCCATGGTCACATCAGCAGCTGCATGTGGAGAAGTCGGGAATCAAACCCGGTTCTCCCGGATTAGAGTCCACACTCCTAACCACTGCACCAAACTGGTATCCAGAATGCCCCATGATATGCCTTTTCCCAAAGGGCATGAGGGAGTGAGAGATTCCTCCTGGTCAATGCAGCTAAGCTACATGCAAGAAATCCTGTGTGGGGATGAGCACAAACCAGGAAAATACAGTTCAGTTCAGTTTGTGGTTCGTGATGTGCTCTGTTCACGAACTACAGACCATCATGAATTTTTGGCCACCTCATAAACTAGTTTGGATCATGAGGCTTGTGAGGCGGTAAAACAGCCCCCCAACATGCTAGAGACACCAAACTTTCAGGGGATCTCTGGTTGACTCTCTTCTACCTGCCAAGTCTGGTGAGATTGAATTAAGGACCCCCAAAGAAAGGGCCCCCAGGAAAGTGCTTTCTGGGGAAATGACAGCCTGTAACTTGGAACCCATAAACCCATTCCTTACCAAACTTGGAGAGCAGGTAGAGGAGTCAGCCAGAGATTCCCTGTGAGTTTGGTCGGCTGTCGTTTTGACAGGCGCAGGTTCAGGAGTGTATAGAACAGATCGTGTGCAGGCTAGAGACACCAGACTTGGAGGGCATGTAGAGGAGCATCTGGGGGGAAGGTCCACTGTTAGTCTGGTATCTCTAGCTTGCACAGGATCCATTCTATACACTCCTGCAGCTGTCAAAATGACTGAGGTTCAGGAGTGCTTAGAACAGATCCTGTGCAAGCTAGAGACATCAGTCGAAGGGAACCTCCCCTGGATGCTCCTCTACATGCTCTCCAAGTTGTTGATTTGAAGCTCTCTAAACATTTTGATGGCATATAGACAGTCTGTCTGGGAATGTCTACACTCAAGAACATCTTGAAGTTCATGGAAAGTTCATGCTAGGCGACCTGCCATGAACTTGACTTAATACAGCATGAACTGGCTAAAATTCATCAGGAACTTTAGTTCATGAGCCAGTTTGTGCCCATCCCTAATCTTGTGCTCTACGGGCTGCTTCCAAGTTGATCACGTTCTCTATTTCAGACAGAAGTGGCTAGAGCTTTGAGCAAGTGCCTGCATGCACAAAGCCTCTTGTCTCCTGCATGGGCTGTTGTCCTTCTCCACCACCAGTTTGCTTCAGGACCTGTTTAGAGTTCAATTTAGCAAAAGGAATGGGAGGGCAGCACCTTTGCTCTAGCTCCTGGCCTAGGGTATCCCCTTTGGAACAAAGACACAAAAGCAACTTTGCCTGCAGGGAACTTAAAGCATAGGCTTGATGGGGAGTCTGCCTCTTCCTACACTGGTCCTGGTGACCCTTCCTTCAAGACTATATGCATCCCATGATTCTGTGCATGCATAAGAATTCAGCATCCAAATCTAGGGATACTAGGGTTTCATAACTGGGAACTACCATTGTGAGCCAGTGTAGTGGTTTAGAGTGTTGGGACTAGTATTTGGGAGACCCAGGTTCAAATCCCACCTTGAGCCATGGAACCTCACTGGGTGACCTTGGGCCAGGCATGCACTCTCAGCCTAACCTACATCACAGGGTTGTTGTGAGGGGAAAATGGAAGATAATTATGTAAGCTGTTTTGGGTCCCCACAGGGGAGAAAGGCGGCATATAAATGAACAGAATAAAATTGTATAATTTGGCTATAGGCATCAGCCACGCAGACAGGGGGAAGGGTTTATATGGGTCAGGTCATGGCACTAAGTAAGAGAGATTTAACATCTTTCATCTGTGCCATTCTCCTGACTGAAAATTCTCTCCTTGCCCTTCCACTCGTTGGCTGTCTTAAGGTCTGTTTCTTTAAAGAAAGACATTCACCTGTATTGTGCCCCCCCCCCACTCATACTCAGGATTGAAACTCTGAGAGAGGGAAGGCATTTTTCTTGTGGAATCAGCACAAGGAGGGAAACTAAACCAACTGCCCTCCTTCCGCCCCCTGCCCCCATGGCTGCTTTTTCATTAGGCATTCCAGTCCCTAAGAACACCAGTATCGCATGCAGTTTGGTCCTCCGTTCTGGTTAAGGGGACGTGTTTAAAATATGCTTCTAGGCCTTATGAGTGCAAAATGGAGCTTGAAAGTCTCCAAAGGGGAGTAGCGTTTCCCAGTGTCCAGGAGTACAGACCTTGTACTTCCACAGGATTGGGTGTAGCAGAAGCAGAAATCTTAGTCTGCTGTGCAGTGCCCACTCTGCAAAGCATTGCATTTTCTGTTTTTTATTTATTGGTTTAATTTTATACAAATACAATTAAGAGAGAAGTAGCAATGCAGTGTGGTGTAGTGGTTAAGAGTTTTGAATTAATATCTGGAAGACCAAGATTCGAACCCCCACTCGGTACAATGGAAGCCCACTGGGTGACCTTGGGCCAGTCACACTCTCTCACCCTAACATTCCTCACAGGGTTGTTGTGAGGATAAAACGGAGAATGATGTAAGCCGTTTTGGGTCTCCATTGTGGAGAAACGTGGGTTATAAATGAATTAAATAAATAATAAACAATCCGTTCACATTTAAATCTAGTCCAATGTTACATAAGATACAGTCCTACCCTGGGGTTTGCTGGCCCCAAACATAATGAACAGTGTCCCACAGATTGATTAGGAATGCTACTAAATACTCCCCTGGACCTGGCATAATGTTCATTGCATCATGAATACGATTCTCCAGCTGTTAGATTTTCACAGTGCAGGCTTCAGTTAATGTCGATGCAGGATCATGTTAGTCAGTCTTTTTCGTTTTGGTGCTTGCGAGTACACACCGCACTGCTCACAGAGCTGATGGATGTGGCATCTTGTCTATTGCTGACACTCTGCATTTTCTCCACAGAGGATATAATGTAGAAGAGGCAGGAGGCTCCCCCTCTCTCTTATCGGTATCTGGACTGGACTCTCTCTCTCTCTCTCTCCTTCTCCGCCCCCATCCCACGTGCCCCCACCACCTTTCCTTTGCTGCTGGAAAAAGGAATCCTCATCAGACTCAAAAAGCCTCAGAATCTGCCGACCTCACCTGTGTGCCATGTCCGGCCCTCATGATTCGCCAGCTTTGGCCCCCGCCTTTCTGCTGACCGGTTGCTAATGGAGGGAAGTTCAACACAGATACCCTCACCCATCTTGAACTTGCCGCTTTTTTGGGGGGGGAAAGAAATACATTAACTGCAATTTTGAGTTGAAAGGAAGGACATCCCTGGAATTTTTAACATTCTTTCGAAGGGAGTCGAACCTTTCTGGGAAAAGCTGCCACTATGACCCCATGCCACACACACACCCCGTGCCCTTCTTCTCAAGACCTGGTGCCAAGATGACAGTGCTGCAACAGACTGTGCCAGGGGCCCACCTCCTCGCCTCGTCTTTCTCCCATTTTTAACCTTTCAGCAACTTAACCCATTCCCGTCCCCCAGCCTGGGGCCAACCCAGCACCTAGGACTGGCCCATTTGATACTTTTGTGTGTAAATTGAATCGTCTCTGAACAGGGTATGGTGAGCCCAAATCCCCTTTTATCTTTGGGGATTGCAGCCACCAGAACTTCTCATTCTCCACTCATTCTGCCCGGGTGATGCAGCCATACCATGAAGCGTGTGTGTGGGGGGGGGGGCTGGTCAGCTAGCTTCTCTCTGCTTACCGTGGGGGCACTACTACACAGTCTCAACCTGGAGGGTGACTCCTCTACCATTGAATGTAACCCTCAGCCAAGGGCCCACCCATATAGAGAGAGCAAGCAAAGGAAGGAGCGCCTCACACTTTCTTCTTGCCTGCTTCAGAGCATCAACACTCTCCCCAGGCCTTGGCCATGGTTCAGTTCTGAGGCTGGTGCCAAAATACTGTTTTCTGTTGAACGTGTGGTGGTCTTTGTGTGAAAGCAACATTGCGGCTCCAGGTAGCATGAGGATGTGGGGCAGGTTAGGATTCCGCCTCCAGTATTAAGGACAGCAGTCAGCCAGGTAAGAGAACACAGGCCTGAGTCAAGCCCGTCTCCTTCTGCAGGAATTTGCCTCCTCGAGTATATTGCGTGTTAGATTAAGTATGACGACATACAAATTTCTCCCAGAAACACGTCCCCATTCATACTTCCCATGGTCTCAGCGACCATGAACTGGGACACTCATTAATTGCCTGAAGACATTTGGACAACAGTGCCCACTCTAGACAGCATCTGACCCAACCCACAAAAGATGATCAGGTTCTGAAAGTGCAACCCATTTTGTTCACCCAGCATAGCATCTCTAGCTATCAGTGCATTCCCCTCTTGCCATTTGAACTAGGCTCCAGGCCAAGGCTAGGCCTCAAACCCTACTCAAGAGAGGCTTCTGAACTAAGGTGAGGGCAAACCTCATCCTGTGCCAAAATAGGCACAACTGGGTGACACTTCACACTGTGTCAAGGGCCTCTTCATTTCCCTCAGCTCCTTACAGGACAGCAGCTAAGCCAATATTACCATGCAGCAAGCAACAGCAAGCATCGGCAACAGCATCCAAGGCCCCTTTTTTTCACAAAGCTAACTAAGGCCTGGTGAAGCGGAGAGAATAATGGACTTTTAATGGTATCCCGAAAATCTGTTGCCTGAGGTGGCTCACCTTACCAAGTGAGGGAAGAACAGGTATGTCAGAGGGCTTGTCCTGAGGGAATGACATGAAGGGCTAGTTCTGGGCCTAGAGCACGAACATGTAAATGAAAAAGGACATAAAGATACTAGGCCCCAAAATAAGTCTGTTGGGGCAGTATGGCCTCTGGGAATATGATGCCATCGAAAAGAGGGCTTGAAGGATGTTGGAGGCCTTGTGTACCACAGTGACTGCAGTGTGGTCATGCCACTATGTTTGCCAAACAGAAGTGCTAGGAAGACATCAGGCAGTTGCCGGTGAAGCTAACAGTGCAGATGTTACAACCCCTAGGCTCAGTTCTACCAGAATCAGCCACATGTGCTGTGCAACCGAAAAGTGCCAAGGGAATTGGCAGGTTCACTAAAAAAACCTCTGTGGGGAGTGAACCTCCCTCCTCCTCCTCAAAATCTAGAGTCAAATTATGAGGAGACAGGCATATGTCAAGCGTTCAGTCCACTCATTAAAGCAGCAGTTCTAAACACACTTACTTGGGAGTAGTTTTCATTGAACTTTAGCAGGACCGAGTAAATACACAGAAAATTTGGCTGTAAATCTCTTGTCGCAGACTCCACAGCAGAAAGGGGTTCTTTGCCGGGGTTGCGGAGAAAAACAGACACTTCGTATATCTGAGGACTATCCCCCCCACCCCCGGCCTATTGACAGGTCTCAGTCCCTCTCTCCAAGCCAGTCATTCTAGCAAAGCCCAAAATATAATGAGAAAGGATTTGAGAACTTGGAACAAAGGTGCTGTGTTAGCCCTGCAATTCCACAGGCTACAATGAGCCACCAGATCTAGATTAGGGGAGGGGAGGGGGGAAAACAAGGTGCACAAGATGAGATCACAGTTGATGAAAATGGCAAGATTGGTGGAGAAGGGAATACAGTAGCTGTAATATATATATGTATTTTAGTACAAAAAAAAGTTTGATACAGTGTTTCACAAAAACTTATCAGAAAACATAAAAATCAAGATGGATGGATTGGACCGGAACCTTGTTGCATCAATGAAAAGATTTGAGACTTCCTTTCACCTTGAGATTTGGGGATGGGAAATGTTGGTAACTTGAAATGACAGGAGTCCATGAGAAGTGGAGCGAAACATTTATAGATCATGTTCAATGCTCGTGCTTATATGCCTTCAAGAGAGAAAGGGATGCATGCGAAAGCCCCACAAGGACCTACAGGGCTGAATCATGTGACAAAAAAGGGTGCTTACTGTCTTGTGTGGGGGAGAGGATCTGCATATCATGTGACTTACGTCAAATCCACGTTGCTGCCACTCAACCTACATACATCAGCTTTACACTAACACTATGAGAGGATGTCAAACTGTAAGAGCAACTTGGCTATTTCATCATTTTAATCCTGCCAGAGCTCAGGATGACATGCACAGTTCTCCCCCCCCTTTTATCCTTACAACAACCCTGCGAGGTACATTAGGCTGAGGGTGACTGGCCCAAGGTCATCCAGCAAGCTTCCATGGCACAAGTGGGGATTCAAACCCAGAGTCTCCTACATCCTAGTCCAACAGTCTAACCACTACATTCACAATTCTACACAGATCCACTCAGCCTACATTTTTGTCCTGGCAATTAACAGTGTGTGAATCGACCCTTAAGTCAAGGACTGTTATACACAGCATCCCTAAGTGCTGAAACCCTCCCCATTTGATTCCCCCTAGCTTTTACTAATGGGCAGAGGTACGGAGGGAATGCCTTATGTTGCAGCTGCATTACATCTGTGCGTACAGCCTTACACACCACACTTCTCCAGATTCCTATTTTTGGAAGCTGGTGTGGACTTCTCTCACTTCCCCATTATCCCCAAGTGCAGTGATTCATTCCATGACCGCCCCCCCCCCATATTAGCAGCCACAGAGAATAAAAGGACCCTTGAGCCTTGGCGAGAAAGGTAGACCACAAATAAAGTGTAATAAAATAATTAAGGCGTGAAAAGCCCGTTATGCCTTTTCTTAACCATCTTCCCCATGGCAGCCTTTCATTCTGTTCCGTAAGGCTTAAGGGGAAGCCACTGAAAACAGAGACAGTATCTATCTTCAGGGCTGTGTCCTGGATGCCGCTTCATTCGATCCGTCCTGTAATCACAGCATGGGAACTGGCAGACAGACAAAATGTGGGGATTTCTGCTCACTGCATGAGTGGGAACAAGGAGAGTCAGACAGGAGAGATTGTGTCTTTTGGATGGACACTGCAGCTGTTAAGACCTGCCATGCGAGAAGTGTGCTACTGTCATCCGGATCAAGGCTGCCGAACTGCAGTTTGTCCCCAGTCGACTGCTTAGGGCTGCTGGTGTTGCTGGCAATGATGGCAGCGTTTTCACTTGATCTCCAAGCAGGGGCAAACAGAAGCATCTTAAGGACCACCGTCCACCTGGGGCTCAACTTCTTACCAGGAGTTGCAGGTGAAGCTGTTGCAGCAGCGGCAAAACCTGAAGCAGCTCCCTTAGGAGCCGCCAGAAAAGTGGGGTGATGCTTTTGACCCTTGCCAATAAAAAGGGTGCTGTGTGTTTGCATCCCACCCTCTGTTCACACCAACTAGGGCCCCCATCTACACAAGCAGCAGAAAGGGGCGGTAGAAGAGACCACCATGGAGAGATTCCCTTTTTGAAAACTCTCCCATATAAAAAAAACTCCCCCACATGTAGACAAAGGCACACCTAAGCATGCTAGGGAGGAAACACATAGCTCTTCTGATACACCTGCTCTTTGTTGCACTAGCTTCCTACTTGCAGTGAGGACCATTCATAAATACAATTCAGCCCTTGCAGCCGGAAGTGATGCCATCTTTTACCCACTCAAAATTCTCCCACAGAATTAGAGGCTATGGGTGCGTTCAGACGTGCTGTTTGATCTGCTGTCGTCATGCTTCAGCAACGGATTTTATATGCACGATCACACAGTCAACATCTGCCTCCTGTCCTCAGCCGTTGGCTTCCGGCTCAAAACCGCTTTAACCCGGAGTCTTTTGTTACCAGGTCCCAAAGTGGTGTTTTCTCAGCTCTCCCGTTTAAAGCCACATTTTCCCCCTCTGTGATCGCTCCTCCGGTGTCAAGCCACTTCCGGTTTAAACCTCCTCCCCGCTCGAAAGCTGTCTGAGGCTTCCGCTTTTTGCCCGCCATTTTTTAATGTGTTGGCGGTGTGCGCATAGGCGGAGCTCCGCCACCGTGTTTAGAAAACCGACATTTAAATGGTCACTTGTTTTAGAGTTTAGATGAGTTCGGGATCTCACGGAGGCCATTTTCGGGTCAAACTTTTAAA